GATTTTGTACCAAAAGGTATAGATAAAGACGTGATAGTTCTGGTCTTTTGGAGTTTCTCTTTCCTTCATGAGGTCATTGCATCTGTACTCACTGAATTCCAAGTTTGTGTTCAGGTGGTGCTGTTTCATGAATTCCCTCCAGGAAAGCTTCTGACTGTTTACAAAGAGCCCCCATATGGAAAACAGCAGGAACAAGAGGGGACCTAGGACCTTTAGACAGGATGGCATCTTAGTCACCAGGGTTACCTGTGGGTCCACATGGAAGAAAGAGGAAAGCATTATTGCAACAATGCCCTAAGAGCTGAGCTCCACCTTAAAATTCCTTCCATGCCAATGTAGACACTTAGGCCCAATTTTACCATTCGGTTCCAGACTAGAAGATAAGTCTCATTAGATAATAAAATTTATAAGAACTGAAAATATGCTAGAGCCTGGGTAAGACAAGCACAAAATTGTAAAAAATAGATAAAGTTTATTTTGAGAATTCCAAACACCTTCTTTCTGCCCTCTCTTCTACCCAAACCAAGGAGTGCTCTAACTACCTCTGTTTTATAGTACAGATGGGTTCTCATAAAATAGTGTGTCTGAAAGAGAATGGTACTTTCAGTTTTATGTCTGTGAAGTAGAAAGGGTTGTCACCTTTTAAGGGAATGTAGAAGACAAATAAAGACTTGGGAAACATTTTCCAAGCAGGAAGGCTTTAGTTCCCTGAAATCCCAGGCTGCAGTTAAACTGACTCTATAGATGGTGCTTATCTAATCTTGAATTCCTTATAACACTTCCCTAAAGTCTGTGGGAAACATCACTTCTGACCACCCACTTTCCTTCTCAGAGGTTATTTCCCTAATTATCATCCTGATGAACGATCTTGATTTGCCATTAAAAATAACATTATAATTCCAGTCAAGATGGGGATGTAAGTAGACTTGCTTTACCTCCTTGTGCAACCAGAGAAAGAATTACAACTAGATTTCAAAACAAATAATATCCAGAGTTGTCAGGAAATTGAGCTGTATGGAAATCTGTAACCCAGGACTTAGAGAAGCCACATTCATCTAGATGGGTGCCTTTCCAACAATAGGCCACACTACTAAGACAGGGAGTCAAAGCAGCACTACCTAATACATAGAAACAAACACAGGGAGGCTGCCAAATTGAGGAGACAAAGAAATAGGGCCCAAATAAAAGAATGGGACAAAACCCCAGAAAAAAGAACTAAATGAAATGGAGATAACAAACCTATCAGATGCAGAGTTCAAAACACTGGTGATCAGGATGCTCAAAGAACTCATTGAGTGTGGCAACAACATAAAGGAAGAAATGAAGGTTATACTAAGTGAAATAAAGATAAATCTACAGGGAATGGCCAGTGAAGAGGAAGAAGCCAGGATTCTAATCAACAATTTGGAACATAAAAAAGGAATAAGCATTCAACCAGAACAGCAAGAAGAAAAAAGAATAAAAAAAAACAAAAACAAGAATTGGCTAAGAAGCCTCTGGGACATCTCCAAACATACCAAATCATAGGGATGCAAATCATAGGGATGCCAGAAGGAGAAGAGGAAGAACAAGAAAAACTTAACTTGAAAAAAATAATGAAAGAAAATTTCCCTAATTTGGTGAAGGAGATAGACATACAAGTCCAGAAAGCATACAGAGTCCCAAACAAGTTGGACTCAAAGAGTAACACACCAAGACACATCATAATTAAAATGCCAAAGGTCAAAGATAAAAAGAGAATCTTAAAGCAGCAAGGGAAAAGCAGAGAGTTACCCACAAAGGAGTTTCCATAAGACACTCAGCTCATTTCTAAAAAAAAAATTTTGCAGACAAGAAGGGACTGGTAGAAAGTATTCAAAGTGATAAAAACTAAGGACCTACAACCTAGATTACTCTATCCACTAAAGCTATCATTTAGAATTGAAGGGCAAGCCCTGGCTGGTGTAGTTCAGTGGATTGAGCGAGGACCTGGGAACCAAAATAATTGAAGGTCAGATAAAGTGCTTCCCAGTCAAGGTAAAGCTAAAGGAGTTCATTATCACCAAGCCATTACTGCATGAAATGTTGAAGGGACTTATTTAAGAAAAATATCAAAACTATGAACAACAAAATGGCAACAAATTCACAACTACCAACAACTAAATCTAAAAAAAAAAATAAGCAAACAGTGAGAACAGGAACAGAATCATAGATATGGAGAACATTTGGAGGGTTATCAGCAGGGAGGGTGAGAAGGAGAATGGGGGAAATGGTGCAGGGATTAAGAAGCATAATTGGTAGGTACAAAATATACAGGGGGATGTTAAGAACAGGATAGGAAATGGAGAAGCCAAAGAACTTATATGCATGACCAATGGACATGAACTAAGGTGAGGATTGTAGGAGGGAAGGTGGGTACTGGGCAGAGGGGACAAAAGGGGAAAAATTGAGTCAACTCTAATAGCATAATCAATAAAATATATATTTTTTAAAAAGAATGCCATCATAAAGAAATTCCAGTTTTGAAATATTCTAACCAACCAAGTAGCAAGATTGAAACTGCTCTCACAGGAGCTGGTCTGGTCAATCCAGTGCTTAGAGACACTTGAGAAAGTCTCCACTTTAAGTCAGTTTTGTTCTCATTTACCAAGAGGAGTTACCTGGCCCTACAGAAACTCTAACCCAATTATCATCTCTCTCAGAATTGGTGTCCTCAAATAAGCCTAATAATAGCTCCCCTACAGACCTGTGAGAGTCTAATGAGATTTGTATGAGAGCACTTTTGAGGATCTCAAGTGCTATATCAGGCTCAGAACAAGAGATAGGCACATGCTCCTTTGTGGCACCCTATCCCTAGTTCAAGTAGCTTAAACAGGATAAGAAGACCAGAATTCAAGCTCCTCCAATGTATTATGCTTGAAAAAATTAGGGAGGAAGTGTGTATCAGTGAGATTAACACTGAGTTGAATTCAGGTCTTTGCTTTTTACAAGTTGGATCACTTTGCCTTTTCAACTCTAGCATCCAGAAGTTCAATCAAGCCCCTTCCAGTGTTCCTGGGCCTTTCCCCCCAACCATCCTTAGTACCAACCCTTCTAACTTGTCCTATGCAGATTCAATACTCACGTCACTGGTCACAGTGGGGGTCAATATGTGATCCAAACAGTAGAGAGTGTGTCCTTTCTCTTTTCGTAGAGCTAAGAAGTCTGCAGCAGTACAGGAAGGAATAGATGAGGAGTTGCAGTGTTACAACTGACTGGCAGTGGTGGTGTGGGAGAGGGGCAGTCTTACTATGTGAACCTGTTTCTCTATCTTCTCATCTAGAATACTTGGGTTCACTCTGAAATTTGCCTGGAGCAAATGTATCATACATCAAAAGCAGTTTTCTGGGTACAAAGAAATGGCAAGGCCCTGGGGGCAGGTGTTAAAGAACAAAATTCAACCAAGTAAATTTGAAGATCTAATTGTCTTTATTAAGCAATTTGGGAATCAGGACAGCATCCCATCTAGCAACTAGAAAGGTACTTCGATGAGTTGTACAAAATGGAAGGTTTTTATAGGCAGAAAAAGAATGGGACTAAGAAATTAAAAGGAGTGGATTATTTTAAGCAAGCTCACCTTCATTTAGGGGAAGGCAGGGGAAATTAACAGGCAGATTACCTCATCAGTGCTGATCGGGAAACTTTCAGATTGATTAGTTTAAAGTTTCACCTCTGGAAAAGGCTGAAACTGAAATTTGGTTAGTTATTAAGTTTTAGTTTGGTGACATGGCTTAGCCAAAATGACTCACAATTTCAGTCATAATATTTCAGGTTTATGATTTTTTTGACTTTACAATGATGCAAAAGCAATATGCATTCAACAGAAACTGGCTAAGCTAAGCTATGATGTTCAGTAGTGTTAAAAAGAATGAAGTCTTTGTTCTGGCTGCACCCAGCTCAGTTGGTTGGAGTGTCATCCTATACACCAAGAGGTTGTAGGTTTGATTTCCTGTCAGGGTCCCTAGTCTGGGCATGTAGGGGAAGCAACCAATTGATATTTCTCTCTCACATTGATGTCTCTCTCTCTCTGTCTCTCTTCCTCTCCCTCTCTAAAAAAAAAAAATAATAAATGTAGCCTCAGGTGAGGATTAAAAATAAACAAACAGAGTCCAAAACAGTTGAAAATGGAGTCACTTTTGGTAACCACTTGAGACAGTAGATATGCTAATTAACTTTACTGCAGTGATTATTTCACAATGCGTATTTTTACTGAATCAGGTTGCACATCTTAAATATTAACAATGTATATCTTCTGTAATTCAAATGTTTTCAGTTTAGTCCTTTCACATACACACACATACTCTATCTCACACACATATACACACACACACTTTCCTTTTTAGTTGCTGGTGTCCATCCATCTCTGTTACTCAATTTGTTTCAAAATCCAATGGTACCTCGGTACTTGTTGTTAATTCATTCTAGAACTTGTGACAAGTACCAAGCAAGCAATGAGTGATGAAGCATTTTCTCTTGAGGGGCAGCATCATGATTCATACAAATTTTAGTCAGTACCACGACTATGGAGCAAGCACTGAGTGCTGAAACATTTTTTTCTTGTCAAAATGCAATGAGTACAGGGTTTGATGAGTTCTGAAGTCAATGAGTACCAAGGTATGACTGTATTGAAAGGGAGGGATGTGAGAATTGTCTTTAGTAAATGACACAAATGTTTCTGTGTCGTGTCCATCGAACAGATAGGCGTTAGTCGTGGATGAGAGTTTCTGAGGATATTAAGGTGTCTGTGCGTGTTTATAAACTAGAGAAGAATTAAAAGAGGATAGGGGGAAGAACTCCCCACACAGAAACCATAGCACCATCTTCACAGATACCTGCAATTTGAATTCTTTATTACAAGGAAAGCATGAAAAATCTTTCATTCATGAAGACTGACTGAGTCTTAATGATCTAGAACATTGTTAATACTCTGACTTACTACAGTGATTCAAAAGTTTGGGAAGAGAGAAAGAAAATTCCTTGTATCATTTCTTGAACTTCTTTTTTTATTGCTGTTTAGTTACAGTTGTCCCACATCATTTCTTGATCTTACCCAAACATAACAGGGTTGCCAAATCAAACAGATAGAGCTCTCATTTATCAGTACATATTTGCAAAATTTTAATGCTTCCCCCAACAGCTGACTTTTGGGAATATCAAAAAGCAGATACTTTCAAAACACTTTTTGTGATGAAGTAGAGAAAGTCCTGGATTAGTAGCTAGTTGAAGTGGATTTTTTGCTTCAGCTTTTCCACTAACTTCATGGTCTTTAGCAAATCCCTTAACTTTGGGCTCCTATACATAGCACTATCAGCATCACAGGGGTGCTGTGGTATTAAAATGGGATAACTGAGGTGCAAGCACCTGGAAATACTTGAAATGCTACATAAAGACATATGATTAAATTGCAGAGGGTAGGATCTGAGAGAGTTATGCTGACCAGTATTATAAAAGGAAGCAGAAGAGTTTACTGAAATGTTTATTACAGAAAAGTCCAGTCCCATTTTAGGTTTATGTCTCCATTTCTCTTTGATGCATTGAACAGAATGGGTTACATAAACAAAAAGAAGTAGACATAAGCAGAGGAGACAGAGACCAGGAAAGCTCAAATACATTACTCACTGCCACTCAAGGAGTAAGTTAAAGGTCAACCACTGGGCCATAACCCCTGCAAGGTACCATCTATCTGTCAAAGTGCACAGGCACCTCTGGGTTACCTTCACAGGCAATGACAACACGCCTAGTGCTGGTCATGGCCCTATATCTGCAGTTAGGGGCTTTGGAACTTCCTGTCTCCCTGCAGTCTGTGACGTGCATTACACCCTCGTGGCAGTTCATCTTGCCATTCTTGCACTGGATATTGGTGGTGCTGCAGATACTACGAATGTTCCAGATGTTCTCATGGATGAACGTGTTGAAGTGCTTGCAATGATGTGAAGTCATCTTCCGTCTTTGCATCATAATGTTACAGTAGCCATCATTGCCACCTGCCCCATTAGGGTCCACATGTTGCCGCAGGAATCGTTGGTGCATGCGATCCTGGCCATAGGAGGGCTGCACCAGCCCCAGCCCCAGCAGGGTCAGCAACAAGAGCAGAAGCAATGAAAGGGTCTTCTGGAGAGCCATCACTGCCTTGGAGATGCCTAGAGAGAAACCAAAGGGAAGAAGAAAGGAAGGTAACAAATGGGCACTAGAGAGATTTTGAGAATGGCAAGCTCTACACTTTCCTCCCCACTCTTCTTTTCTCACAGTTTTTCTCACCACTGCTTCTCCAAGAGTGAAAAGTTTGGAAACATGATCTTCTCTGAAAGAAGGAGCCTTTCTCTTTTGTGGAAAGAAGTTGCTACGGCGAGCACAAAGTCTCATGGCAGAGACTGACAGTGTGGTTGTCCAGGTGGATGTCCTGTATGGTCAGGATGTGAAAAGGAAGAAAAGGCAGATCTAAATAAAGCTGAAGCTCTCTGTCTCTTGAGGGAGTTCTCTAGTCATGTGATCTTTGGAGAGTGTTTGGTTGCCTGGAGACTCTGAATCCCAAAATTTTGGATAGACTGAGGGTGTGTCAAGGAAAGTTTATAAACTGATTTTAATTCCTGACATTTGTGAACTGAGGAAGTTGCAGAAAAAAGGATAGAGTAATGCTTGGGTTTAGCCTTTTCTCTTATGTGTCTACTCTTTTTTTTTAACTAAAAAACATTTTTCCATTATAGTTGATGTATAGTATTACATTAGCTTTCGGTGTACAACATAGTGATCAGACATGAATATACCTTATGAAGTGATCACCCCAGTAAGTCCAGTACTCATCTGACACCATACATAGTTATTACAATGTTTTTTTACTAGATTCCCAATGCTTACTTGATGTCCCCATGACTATTTTTAAAACTGGCAATTTGTACTTCTTGATTCCTTCACCTTTTTCAACCACATGGCTATTCTTTTAAGTGTATTAACATCAGGTCCTTTTGGAAATCTTGCTAAGCCTATAAAAAACAAAATCTAAAACAGAGTAACCACCTGCAGCTTTGCAGATAATAAATATCTGTTGAATGAACTAATAAACAAAATGAGTGAGCTAATTAACAAACTAAATAAAATGGGTATAGAGACTGAAGATGTTTCCCAGGCTTGTGGAATTGATTAAAAATTTTTTTTAAAAAAGAAACAAATCTCACCCTCGTTGGTGTGGCTCAGTGGATTGAGGTCCAGCTTGTGAACCAAACGGTCGTCAGTTCAATTCCCAGTCAGGCCACATGCCAATGTGTGGTCGTCTCAGGCGCATGAGAGACAACCACACATTGATGTTTCTCTTCCTCTCTTTCTCCCTCCCTTCCCCTCTCTCTAAAAATAAATAAATAAAATCTTTAAACAAACAAACAAATCTCAACAGTACAATCTCCACAAAAGAGGACTTGGACTGTCTTTTTTCATTGCTGTTTCTGTGCACAACCTAAACACTAGGCCCTGGTGATATATTCCATTGTCATGCATCTGCCTTTGATGCTCTGTGTTGTCAATAGCTAATGGTAGTAGTCTGTGTTTGCTGGTTGCAGAATCATTTTGTTGGCACTTTTGGCAGTGGAAAATAAACATGTTTTACAGAGTTAAAAAATAAACAAACAAAAACCTTCAGAGCCACAACAAAGGAAGCATTGCCTTAGCAGGGGTGTCCAACCATTTGGCGTCTCTGGGCCACACTGCAAGAAGGAAAGTTGTCTTGGGCCACACATTAAATACATTGTGACACATAATCACAAAAACAATCTTATAATGTTTTAAGTAAATTTATGATGTTGTGTTGGGCCACATTCATAGCCATTCTGGGATGTGTCTGGCCCATGGCTACAGGTTGGACACCCCTGCTTTGAGAATATTGCTTTTGTTGACGGAGTAAAGAAAGGAACTGAGACCTATCTGACTCTAAAACCTGTGCTTTCTCCACATCGTCTATTGTCTCAATCATTTCACTCCCCAAATATTCAGGATATTAAAGACTTCTTATGTTCAGAGTTGCCTCTCTCTAGCAAGAGTTTAATGAGGGGTAGAACAGGGTGAAAGTGGAAGTGGGAATCCCTCACCAACACTAACTAGCTGGATGCTGCCATCTGGCTGTCACTCCTGGTTTTGGCAGGAACTCATGAACTGTGAGTCTACTGGCAAATCTACTGGCAACGAGGCAGGGCTGGCTCACTAGAGCATTGATTTTCAACCTTTTTCGTCTCAAGGCACATATAAACTAACTACTAAAATTGTACCAAAAACTGTTTGCTGATCTGACAAAAAATAGGTATAATTTTGATTCGTTCACACTGGATGGCTATTGTTGTGTTGACTGTTATCAATTTTTTTTGACAATCTAAGGGAAAAGAGGTCAGTGTCCCTGACTAAATACTATATTTTAAAAATTCTTGGGGCACACCAGCTGAAAATCATTGCACTTGAACAAAGAAAAATCATCTCTGATTCAATAGGAAGTGAGCAACTCAAAACAGAAAGAACAATTTTTTGAGAGTCATACAGGACTTTTCCTACATATGTAGTTCAAGGGCTGGCCATAGCTGAACTCCTGGTTTGTTGTATATGGGTACTACTGTCCTTTGTTTTCAAAGATGCTGCTTCATGATGGCAGATCACACTGTCTGAGTGACTGAAATGGCTCATGAGGGACATGCATACATGCATATGAGTATCAAACATAACTTTATTCTTTTAAATGCTGCCTTCTATATTCACAGCCACTCTTGCTTGCGCACAGAAAAACTCAAATGGTCTGTCACATTCCAGTGCCTGCAGCTGTAGATATAAGATATGGAGTTAGAGAGAGAAGAGAATGGCGTGGGAAGAAGAGTAGCAAGGAGAAATGATGCTTGATTTACTCCTCACTCCAAGACTAATGGACAGGCCTTCTGGAGGTACACTTAGCACTTGGGCATCATCACAACAATGCGCTTTGGGTTGTTTTTCCCAAATCTAATTTTACATGGTTATTTTTGCCCCTCTAATTTTGTATAGTTCTATCTACTTTTTCTCATTGTGCTTCCTTGTATCCAAGTTATGATTTAGAAAGATAACTGGCTACAGAGAAGACCTAAATTATTCATGCAAGAGTAAGCCCATGGTCTTGGCCATACGAACCAAGTGATTTAATGAGATATGGACAAATATTTGTGAACAGAAGTCAAATGTAGACATCAATCGGTATATCTCAAGGCTCTAGCTACAACAGAAAATGAAATGATACCCAAGTCATCTCAATGCATACTTTTCGGTCAGAGCTTGCCCCAAAGTCTTTCTCTGCTGTACTGCCATGATTCTCAGTAAGAACTTCTTTTGATGCTATGATCCCAAAGACTTAATTCTGCCACATAACTGTATGATCTGGGATAAATTAACCTGTCTCAGCATATTTCCTCATAAGAAAGTGAATATAAGAATACCTCTTAGGGATGTTGTAAAGAATAAATGATAAAGTGAGTGTAAAGTGCATATCATAATGCCTAGTACATAGTAAATGCTCGGTAAATGTTGGCAATTGTAATTTTTATAATTTCCATATTTCTTGGTTTCCTTTGCTTCCTTCAGTCTAGATAAAATATTGAATGACTACACCAAGTTGCATATATTATTGCTCTCCTCCCCTTTATTTTGTAGAGTGCCTGCATTCCTTCAAAATCAGAAGGCTGTTTTTAAGTTGAAATGTCTGTTACTAGAATTTATGCTGTGTCCCTACAGATTCTCCTCTTTGCGTTTGAGTGGAATTTTCTTCCTTGCATGTCATCATTCTTGAAAGGACTTGGCATATTGAGGTTTTTCTTCTCTTTTCCTTGAAAAAGTCAACAAAGCACAGCTGACCAGGACTTCAGTTCCTCAAATAATTCACTTGAGATAAAACCTGACTTGCCTGCCATGCGACATTTCATTCTTTTGGTTGTGAGAGAACACGAGACCCAGAGCAAGAAGTACTAGGATTGGCTACCCAGCATCTAGTTCCATCAGCAGGACAGGAAGCAGCCCCATCCCACTGCCATGTGATTTGCCCTAACACCATAGCAGAGTATGCAATGATAGTACTCTAAGCAGGTGTAGGAGGAGACATGCATTTTCACAGCTATGGCATACTCAGTATAATCATGGTCCATACCTTTGGCCTTCCCCATCAAAACCTCAAGTAGGTCAATGATCTGTGTGGAAGTCACTTTGCCTCACATCGAGAAGATGGTACTGGTTGGAGAACATGTCAAAGGGTACAAATATTCTACCAAAAACTGCAACTTGCTCACTTCCTAAGAGGTTTTTGGGATTTTACAATACGGCAAATTTTCTAATAAAAGAGTTTTGGAAAACTTTTCTCCCCACTTTCTTAGGAAATGATAGTGACCTCAGCTTTGAAATAGATTTACTCAAGGTAGAAATATTCATGTGCTGAGTGTGCACTAGTAACCTACTTCTCCATCTCTTCTTCCATAAATTTAAATACTGGGTGCTCTCCCCAATGGCACTCGGACACTGATATATAACCAGGGTGTTTTTTTTCTCACTTGAGGACCTTTTTTATCCATTATTTTTGGAGAGAGAAAAACATTGATGTGAGAGAGAAGCATCCCATACACACTTGGAGCGGGGACAAAGCCCCCAACCTAGGTATGTGCCCTGGCAAGGAATAGAACGCGCAACCTTTCAGGTACAGGACAATGCTCTGAGCAACTGAGCCACACCAGCCAGGGCTATAACCTGGTTATTGAGGAGGCAGGGCTTTTGGCCCATTTCAGGGCAGTGTAGACAGCAGGAGAGGCCACCATAGGGAATACTGTGACCACTATAGTCATAGATTCACAGGACGGCAAAACTAGTGATTTATAATTGTAATTTATTAACAAGTACTTTCCAAATAAAATATCCTGGCATTTGTTGATAGAAATTAGGTAACAAGAAGTTACCACTAAATCTGTGAATTGATTAGTATATTTCAAAAGGAGAGTGTCTGCTTACCTAAGTTTGCATTTACTTGAAAACAAATGTAGTTGAATAAGAATAAGGAATAAGCTTGGAATCTTTCCATAAATTCCCAAAGACCTCATAGTTGCCAGACACCAGTGGATAAAGTAAAAGATTAAAAAGAAAATAATGTAATAAATTTTTTATCTTTATATAAAGTAACCATGAGAATACCCTGGGAGCAATCTATTCAAAGCAACTCAAAATAACCTCCTGCCTAAGACAAGAGGTAGCTATCAGGAATAAATGTTGGTATTCATGCAGGATTTTGTGTGTGTGTGTGTGTGTGTGTGTGTGAGACAGTGAGAGAAAGAGAGGCAAAAGATTAACTAATTTGTTGGTATTCAGTCTTAAACTCTGCTCCTCAAAGTTTAACATTTGTAAAAGTAATATTGGCTTATTTGACAGCAAAAAACAATTTGCCTGTCCTGAAAATTCTACTTAGCAACCACAAGCACTGGAATTTTCCTAGTTCTCTCTATAAAATGTATTTAACAACCTTACATCCACAGAAAGGTAAAGTCTACCTCTCTAATGACTGAGAAGGGAAAAAACGCACTTGTATTTCATCCAATCCTCTGGGGGGCGGGCATTGAGAAAATGGGGGAAAATCAATAGGCCAAGAATTGGTGAGAAGATTTTCATTTTTACTGATTTCAGAGACATTTTAATTTATTAACATATTGTAAAACTGAAAACAAAAGATCCAGGCAGTTCATTTCCTGGGCCCCTGGCAATGAATGTTGCTGCTACTGTTCTGCAGTGTGTAGGAGAAATGCAAGGAATGGAGAGCAGAGCCCACTCTAGGCCAGTGGCCTGTTTCTTATGGACGGATAAAGGACTCATCGAAGTGGACAGGAAAGCCATGTTCACAGGCAACAACAATGACTCTGGACCCTTTATTAGCTCTGTAACGGCAGGGAGGCTGGGAGGACTGTCCTATATGCTTGCAAGTGGTGATCTGGAAAGAAGACTTGCTTTGTCTGAAAGTTTCTCTGTAAGGCACCCCATTCTCATCATCACAGATGGCCTTGATATTTGTCTTGGTGCCATGAATAAAGGTGTTGGTGTCTTTGCAGGGTGAAGTCAGGCCTCGTCTCTCCATCATGAAGTTGCAGTATCTGTCATCCCGGCCAGTTGGTTTGGAATTATAGTGCTGGGTCAGGAAGTGTCTGTACCTGTAGTCATTCTGAGCCAGGGTAGATGTGGTCAGACTCAGACCCAGCATGAAGACCAACAACAGGGGACCCAGGCCCATCATCATTTCTTCCAACAAAGGTGCCTGCCGAGGGCAAAGGAGGTATGGTAGGGCAAATTAGGCTAAAAGGACAGGAACTTTTCTCTCTGACAGGGCATCATGAGTCAGGTATCCCCAGTCACCTAATTATATCTTTTCTCTTCTTCATTAATCTCATCTTTCTTGTCAATCCATTCCTTTGGAAAAGCAATCTAAGTTTCCAGAACACAGCTCCAGCCCCAACCATTCAGTTTTATTGCTTAGATTCACTGAGTACTTACCCTTCCATTAGTTATAGTATCACAATATCCATTCATACTCTTTAATTCAGTTATTAATTAATTTAATAACAAACATTACATAAGCCCCTCCCTACTGGGTACCAGACACTGTTAGATCCTGGAACACATAGTCTATTAAAATATACCAAATGCCTCCCTAAAAGGAGATGTAGCATCCATGGGGAAGGTATAGGCACTCTAGTTCACTGAGACAAAACAGTAGGAGGTGAGAGTTATGAAAAAGAGGGACTTTCAGGGAAACCTGAGCCCAGGGAAGGGTCAGTCTAAGGATTGTTGAAGACAGGATTCCAGGTTTTCAAGTCAGTAAGTCAACTGGCTAAGAGGAGAGCAGTCATTACTTAACCCTGAGGAGAAGGGAGACAGACCTAATCCCTAAAGAATTCAGTGGCTTGTGGCCAAATGTGCAATTATTATATACCATTAAAAAAAAAACTGAGAGGAGCATAAAAGAATCAATGTAATGCTTGGAAGTGGGTATGGGGTCAACTTTTACAGGTGACTGGAGGAAGAGGAATTCAAGCTTATTCTTAGGAACTGCTCACCTTGGGAACAATGGGGATTATTTTTAGAGAATATTTCCTAATTTTCCCTGAAAATATAGACAGACTGTTACACAACAGGCAAACGATGTTACTATGTGATAAAAAAACAAATAATACAACCTCATTAGAACTTTTCTTCAGGTCAAAGCCTTTATAATTTGCTGTTATGATTTCTTAACATTTTCCTCAAAAGAGGAATTAGGAAGAGAAGAGAATTGCTGCCATCATCTCTTAAGGGCTTTCAGTCTGAAGTGTATAACTCACACTTTCTAGGGGTAATGTGTCACAAATGTTCAAACACATGCATGATAGGTTATTAAAATATTATAGAATTAAACAAGTATAGATTATAACAAAATAGAAAACAAATTTCTTATAAACTTGAAAACTTTATGACAAGAAATTTGAAGATTTGAGAATTAAAAAATATTTGGTGTTTGTAGTAAGTAGTTTCTGACTACACTTTTAGTTCTTTGGAGAAAATTTTAAAGAATATTCAGAGCCTTTACAAACCATCATAGTGCTACCTTACATTATATCAAGTATATGTGAATGTTCCCACATCCAATAATAAAAATGACTTTTCACTATAAATTTGAAACTGAGTTTTATAATTTTGTTTTTCAAATTTTTTGTCTATGAATGACTCATTTTCTTTTTGATTATCTATGGTTTTTAGCAGTCATCACACATATTGAGAAATTCTTACAATGGGAGAAAAATTTGTCCTTCAAGTTATGCCTAAGCATAATGCAATTCATATAAATCGTAAATTTAGAAACAAATGGTACGTTCTCATAAACATTAGATTATTAATTTTTACTTTGTGCTTTTCTTGTGTGTAGATCAATAAGTGTTATTTTCATGTCAAATGTTTTTATAGCACTTAAAGATGCCACGGGTTCCAGCACTAAGCCTGTAGTGTTACTTAACAACCCCAGGGGTATGACTGTGAGTGTAGGAAGACCAGTAAATCCAGGGTTCTGATGGTTACATGGGAAGGCACATGACAGAATGAGCAAAGTGAGCACTCTTTCTCATCATCATCTGGCACTAATATACCTTGTCTGTTTCATAATAATTATAGACAAATTTGCCACATTGCTGAAGAATACGGAATTATACACTAAGAAAATGGTTGGTTATTCCATGATAGTAAAATAAATAGCAGCTGAAAAAATTCTATTAGGAACTCAAAGTTTAATTTATAATAGAATCAGGTGAAAACATGTTCCTGGGAGTTTAGCAAGAAAGTGGAACATGACCACAGAGGGAAGAGCCACCGCTAAAAGAATAACAAGTATTCATACATGGCCACTATGTCAACACAGCTGCTGGCCTGCTGTGCTCCCCATTTGCCAAGCTCTTTACATTTACATTGTGCTTTTTAGTCTTTTGGATGTGTTTTCTCTTTCTAGTTGTTCGGAAGACCTCATCAAAGGTTTATTGGTTTGGGTTCAATTCAGTCTCTTGCTCTGTGATGGACAAATATTGCCTTCTAATGTCAAAAGTAATTGTAAAATCGCAGGGTCCCAAGGTGGAACAAACAGGACCTTCGAGGTCAGAGTCAACACCTCTCTGCCTTGGGCCAGAATCCCAGATTCAAAATCAGGAAGTAGAATGGGACATCTGTAATAGCATAATCAATAAAATATATATTTTTAAAAAATCAGCCTGGCTGGCGTAGCTCAGTGGATTGAGCGCGGGCTGTGAACCAAAGTGTCACACATTCGATTCCCAGTCAGGGCACACGCTTGGGTTGCAAGTCACAGCCCCCAGCAACCGCACATTGATGTTTCTCTCTCTCTCTCTTTCTCCCTCCCTTCCCTCTGTAAAAATTAATAAATAAAATCTTAAAAAAACACCCAGGAAGTAGAACCAGAGGTGGTAGTAGCCAAAAGGGTCACTAGGTGGCAGTGGTGGATAGAAATGTTGCCAATGTCTTTCATGCTGTTGAGGAGACCCTGGGTCCTTGGTGAGAGGTGCCAGTGCTGGACAGGTTGTGGGGATATTGTCACAGAAGGGAGCCTGAGCTGGCAGGCAAGTCTAGAGTTTTCTGTCCAAACACTCTTTGCTTTACATCTTAAAACCAATGACACCCCACTAGATACAAGTGTCAAAGCAAAAGTCACAAAGCTCAGGATCTGCCTACAAGGATATCACACACACACACACACACACACACACACACACAAGATACACCTGTTGTCAGTTTTCATGGGTGCCATTTCCAAGCTTTTATCCATGTGCTCTTGGCAAACTATCTGTTCACTTGCCAGTGTTTCTTACTGATAAGTTACAGGAAGGCAGAGACCATATTACCCACTTTGAATCACAGTGCCTGCCTCACAGTAGACCTTCAATATATTTTTTAAATGATTGACTTCATTTTCCTCTCCAGGCTTAAGTTTCTTCATCTGTAAAATGAGAGAGTTGCTAATTCTAATATCTGAAATTCCATGGTCCTCATTAAGCATAGGAGAATCTTTTCTTGTTTTACCAGCAAGAGTTGAGTGGAATTAAAGAGACAACTTTGTATAAATTTAGTTGGTGGCAGAAGGCACCAGGTGAAAGAAATAGATGATAAGACCCGTGACCCAATCTCACTGAGATGTATCATTTCTTAAAGCTCAGCGTAATAGCCAAGCCCACAGACCAGCTCTAGGTAAGGTACTGGGCTGATGCTACACAGAGGTTTCACATCCTACAAAGCCACTTGCTGGTTGGAGATTGAAGGTCTCACATCCCAGTCTGGAGAGGTAAAGGAGAATCTTTGTTTTTAATCTGCAGAATTTGCACATTCATTCTGTTAAAACTCAGCTAAATTTTGCTCAGGCTTATTGTAATATTAACTCCCCCAAGATATCCGGAAATCAAATTCCAACCAGTACACACCATGGCCACCAGTATTTAATACCTCCTCAACTCACAACTTCCTCACTCATATATTCAATCCTACATGTCCCAAAAAAAGCTAAAGTGCATTTGGGAGAAAACAAGTATGACACAGATAATTTGTGGTGTGGTAGTAAATCTGTCCAGGCCAAGGGTGCAGAGCGTCACATCTGGTGGTCAAACTCATTTACACACGTCTTTCTATATTTAAGTACATAACTGTCAGTCAGCTTTTTGTCAGGGAAATTTGTTCCCAACTCATCGTTAGACAAACTTTATCACTTGCCTCAAACCAATCCTTTAGTCTTTGCAAGCATTAACACTCTCTTCCTCTTTCCACAGGCAATGTTTTGTGTTCAAGAGATCCATCCAACTTTACGTGCCAGGGAGTTAACTTGATAGTTTATGGTTAGTAACTATGGTTATAATTTTCATAAATGTAGCTTCACACTTTTATGTATTAGAGGGCAATACCCCCCAAATCAAAAGCATAACACACAATACATATTCTTCCCTTTATCTCTTTTTCTTCTTTCTTTCCTTCAACCTGCCAGCGTACCTTCATTTGATCTTGGAATGTGTTCCACTTGGCTCTTAAAGAGCAATCAAAATGTTTTTTAAGAAAAAAAAAATTAGTAGTGAAGGTTACAAGAAAACAGAGCTAAAAGCATACTTTCGGTTTCTTTTCTTGCTCCATCACATTTCATTCCTGTGTCGGGGGTGGGGGGATGGGCAGGGGGGCATCCAGATGCCCTTCAGCAAATTACTTCCCCAGGTCTTTGGGGACTTTATTGCAATTCAAGAATCCCTCCTCAACCTCCACTTGCTCCCAGTCTCACTAATTTCCCTTCATCCACATATAGGCTATTCCAAAAGAAATTTGTTTTCATTGTAAACTTTAGAATCTGACTAGTTTTTTCCTTAATTCATCAGCTTGGGCCCAGAAGCTTTAAAGGGGGATAAATATTTTCACTGAGATGGACAGATGGCTAGAAATAGTATATCTATATATAAAAACAAATAGAGCAACATATTGCCCAGGGGTAAGAATCTTACAAAAATCTGGAAGTTTCCCTCCAACTGAAGATGGCTTCTGGGATGGCTTCCAATTGTTTGTTCCTGGAGATGGGTTGCTGCTCTGTGAAGCCAGAGGCCCCCTCTGGTTCTGATTATATAGTGATCAAGTAAACTGGGTGGGGAGACTACTTCTAAAAATCGCCAGTCCTGGCAGAAGTATGGAAACCAAGGACACTGCTCTTGGACAAACAAAGAAAGTCATTCACCTTTTCCCTGGGCATGACTGTGTCAAATATTAACCCACTGGGAGGCAAAGTTTGATACTGACAAGTATGCCCCTTTGTCCCAAAACCACCCTTTTCCTGATGTCTGTGGTTCTCACTCTTGCTCATGACAGGACTGAGGTTTCATTGTTCACATATAATGATCTGGATCCAGAAGATGTTGTTTCTGATCTATGGGCCAGCTCCAAGAACTGCCTTGGAAGAAGCCTGCGGAGTACATGGGGTCTCCCAGAAGGATGCTGTTCCTTTGTACCTTCTAATTACCCACATAATTTAGTTCATGAAAGGATGCCATGCCAAGAAGTAGGTTATTCCACAGATTTCACAGAACCAGTAAAGCACTTCTAAAGAAGGTTAGGTGACAGCTATTAGTACCCACTGCCCCTGACCTCAACCTCCCAGCTACTGACTTGAGAAATATTTTTGCTATATTTCCTGGGCTTCTCCTTCCTTTCATCCTCAGCTGTTCACAAGAGACTAACCCTGAGCACTCAATCTTCTGTTCATCATAGCAAAATGGATTATCTGCACCACCACTGCAACACTGATAACCATCACTCCTTTGATGTTAATTGATCTCATTGTCTCTCTATTAGATAGAACCCTTTGAGAGAAGAATCATTATCCTCTCATTATTCATTTCTACAGTCTTAGTTTCTAAAACAGTGACTGATACGTAGGCCCCAAGTTTTTTTCTTACCCCTCATGGTCTAGCAGTGCATTCTCTGACCTCACTTTGGAGATCCAACCTTGAAAACTCTCCTGACTTCTCTTTAAGATTCACCAACACAACAGGGTTTGGTAATAGTTACCAATAAAATCAGGTAGAGTAGAATGCTTCCAAGGGTCCAAGAAAACCTCTGCTTCTAGCTTACTGTTAAATCCTTAAAACCCACTGAGATACCTTCATTTCTGAGGTGTTGGTCCCCATCCCAATTCAATCTCTCTTAGGAGAGATTAACTCTTTAAACAGCTGTCAGTGAGTTGCACATGCTCAGGCATGTGTTCTAGAGCCTACCTTAAGAACAGTTTTTGTGGTAACTGGAAGGGCCTGAGAATTTAAGGTGGAAAAAAAGTGGGTGAGGTAGGTTAGTAAAAATTCCATCAAGTGGAATGAGGGAAATGGAGACAAAATAGTTAAACAAATGGCCGAGCCATTAACAGCAAGCTAATAAATCACAAGACTTTCCTAACCAAGGATACTTAGGAGCAGATGGTTTGCATTTCTCCTCCCAACCAGACAGTGAGTAGCAATCACCCTATTTAGGGAGATAGATGGCAGAGATCTAATTAATGCCATTAGTGTCAGCCAAAGCCAAGAATGGATAAAGTCAAGAAAATAAATAACAAAAAAATCCCAACTAAAGCTAGATAAATCCAAGATAAAGCTGATCAGGAAATGATCCCAAACCCCACTATATGCCCCACTATTATGATACATCAGCATGTTAAAAGACACACCTAAAAAGCTGATGAATATTCTGATTGATACCTCCCCTAAAATTCCAGCCTCCAGAAAACAGAGAAAGCAGTCAAGACAAAGGACCCAGTGCACAATCCTGTTTGAGCACACCCCGCCTCCCTTTCCTCAAGCATGAAATTTTACTTTCTTTCTCCTAAGCTCTGAGGGCTCTTCTCTTGCCTAACTTTGCAGTGAGACAAAGGCAGCCCTGCCTTGGCTCACTTCTGTTACTGTGATCTTGCTGCTTCTATTCTAAGCCCTTCCTTTGTCTCATTGTTCCAAACTTTAATGAACATACTCTCAAAATCACCTGGACTCATATCTTGAAGTTTTTCCTGCACAAAGTCAAGAGTCCACACATCCCAGACTGTGACAGGGCAGGCCTTCCTCGGCCCAGTCCCAGTCCCTTTCTGGTGACAATGGGCAGCATGGACAACTCCTCAAAAAAGAAACTTCACCTACTTTTCGGTTGTGTTGGGACAGACACTGTCCTGCCTGAGCTTTATTCCTTCCCTCCCCCATCCTCTCCCTTCTTCCTTGTATCCCCAGCCAAATCCTGAGCTAAAGGGAAAAATGTTGGGAATAATGAGAAGAGGACCAAGCAAACTGCCATAAACTGCCTCTCCCTCAGTAGCTGGTGCATCAGGGTCAATGAAGCCTCTGGAAAGGAAAGGAACAGGCACGTCTCTGGCCAGTACATTTGTTCTGCCAAGCACCAAAGTTCAATGTCTTTTAAGAGCAAAGAGAAGAAATAGGACATGGGGTCCATAGAGTGGAGCCTCTACTGACATCTAGCAGAGTGCCCAAATGCTCAATTTCCTTTTGTGGGCAGACAAGCTATTTGAGAGTGGTACCCATTATAAATTAATCACATAGCACTTTTTAAATGGACACTGAATTGGTGAGTTCTAAAAAGTTGTCCATTAGTCATTGTTTGGGAAAATGGCTGCCAGGCCCATTGCAACACCCTGATTGCCTTAGCAGTCCAGGAAGACTGAATCAGCAGTCAACTCCCACAGACTTTGGGGATCAAAACAACTTGCTCAACCTGATCCTCCTCTGATAAATTGCCTTAACAACAGGGATAAGGTACTACACTCCAACAGCGCACACACGCGCACACACACACACACACACAGAGTTCCAAGGCCTGAAATACCAGTTCAAGCACCAACTCACACAAACAGATCAGCCTCTGATTTTAAAGTTACGCAGTGATGTGCTGGGGAGCAGCCTCCAGTCTCTGAACACAGACAGGTCCCTTCTTTGCCTCTGTGGTTTCACTTAACAACCTTGGGAAAATTCACAACCCGCCTACAAAGTTAACAATGCAGTATCAGGAGAATAGTGAACGGTTGTTTTCCTTCTAATTGTTTGTATTTTCAGCTTGGCACAATGAGGTTATGATGAAACAGAAAATAAAGTTTGGGAGGAAAAAGTTTTACAATTTTATTAAAATGCATCTCAGTGCTTACTCTTTTGTGTTTCAAAATACAACAAAAACTTATAGTCTATGATTAATGAACATTATAATTTGTCAGTAATTTTAGTAGCTGTGAAGCAATTGCCAATTAAAAATATACTCATATACTTAAAAAATGTTCTGACAGCTTGAACTTGAAAGTTATTCCCCCTTTTCTGAAATGTTTTTCTATGTCGTTTCTACAAGCTAATGTTTCCCTGAACATAGACACGGAACACTTGGGTTCTCCTTCTAAGGACTCTACTGCTGGTGTACTTTCCCCCTTTATACAGAGTACATATGTTTCATTCTGTCCTTAAGACTAATTATAAAATAGAGTGATGGAGGGAAAGGGTTAATCTCTAAATTTCTTTATAACTCTTAAATAATTTTGGTCTATAAGCATGGAACTTATTTAGTAACAGAAGTAATGGTTAAAAGAGGATGTAGTTCATGTGAAAAGAAGGATCATGCTTCCCCTTCCAGGAAGAGGAAACAGTATTTATAGAGGGAGAATGAGGACAAAGGCCTGCTGACATGGCTCTATTTCCAAATAGAACAAAAATTAATCATTCCCTTTTCAACAAACTCTGGGCTTTGTGCCAACTCTCTCTTTCCCAGATGTTTCAAAGTGTTCTTCTGAGAATAACTGTTTAGAGAGATTGCTTTTTGCTCAACTACAGTATAACAAACTCTCCTAAAGAGGGTTTTTGCCAGTCTGCTTTGGTCCACTTTCTTAGCCATCTACTTTATGAATCACGCTGCTAAATGCTTCCAACAATAACTTGACAAGCCTTTAACCTTTGCCTGCCCATAACCTGACATCTGCACTTTCGACAAGAATTAGAGACATTTCTCTTTTCCTGGAATGGATTTTCCTCTCCTCTTTGCCAAATGATAGTTCTTCTCATTACTGGAGTACCTTTTCTTTTTAATGAATTGGGATACAATACCTGGCCACTCCATGCTGTTATAGAATAAAGAACAGTGCTGGCTGGTGTGAATCAGTTGGTTGGAACATGGTCCTGTAAACCAAAGGGTTGCATGTTCAATTCCAGTTGGAGCACATGCCTGGGTGTGAGCCCTGACACCAGGTGCAAGCCAGAGGCAACCAACTGATGTTTCTCTCCCTCCCTCCCTCCCTTTCCATTCCGTCTAAAAATCAATGAGCATGTCCTTGGGAGGATATAAAAAAAAACAGAGGGTGAGGGACCCTAGAGACCATCTGTTAACCCCTCATTTTATAGATAAGGAAACTGAGGAACAGAGGAAGAGAACATGTATGGCCCAAGGAACATCTAGTATTACTAGGACTAGATGCATTAGGACTAGACGCTTTCCAATGCACCACACAGCTTTCATATTTTATACTAGTAATTTCTAGAAAATAAAAGTTAATTTTAAAGGTGCCTGTGAAAGTTGCTATTTAAAGGAAACCTACTTTGAATATTTCCATAAATTCCAAAAATATTTTATTCTTCCTTTATCTGTAAAAAAAAAGTTACTTGAAATAAAGTGTAACACAATTATAATTCTGCACTAATTAGTTAGTAGTTGTGTTGTCAATAGCTCTTTGAATACCTGAGACTGCTTCCTGGAAGTTGGCCACCTGCTGGCGTTCAGATAATTACACTGCTTGGGTTTCTAGTGATGACATTTATAACTTGAATATAAGGTTATTAAAAACACAAAGGGAGGGTCTTTGCTAATTTAAGATTTTCCTAGTCCCTACAATGGTGCTGAAATTGTGTTTACTGTCCTTCGGAAACAAAGATGCCCTGTTATGCCCATATGCTGTTATCATTTGATGTGTTGTCTCAGAGTAAGAAAGCTGAGGATTCCAATGCTCCATTAAGAACGCTTAAAGAAAAGGCTGCTGTTAGTGTCTCCAAGAATTTCACAGCACTGGCTGTGGATGGGTTGTGGGTGAGTTAAGGATGATGAGATAGAGGTGACTGAACAGAAAATGAAAACACCAGTTCCCAAATGTCATTTCCACTTGGAAAAACTGAAGAAGGCCAGCTTCATAAATGTGGCAGTCAGCCTGAGTACTAAGCAAAGAGTCTTTAGTTTGAGCAAGTACCGGCCTCCCTGGACCTCGGTTGGTTTCGCCCACGCAGTGGTCCCCTCGAATTCTACGTTCTAGGCAATAGGCATTCGTGTTGTTATCTCTGCCCAAGTGCGGGAAGTAAACATGGATGGGAATGTAGAATCGCTAACTTGAGTACATTATTACCTTCCTCCCCATTCCTCAGTCCCTCTAGTCCAGTTCCGCAGACTTCTCCGGAAAGAGACCCACACTGCCTCTGCTAAGAAGGGCCTCCACTGCCAAAGTGCCCCTGGTAAAGTTACCGACATGGAGGAGGAGAAGCAATAGAAGTATGAACCCATCTGGACCTTGAGACAAAGTTGCAGAAAAGTGCAAAACAGTGGAAAGAGAAGTTTTGGGTGTTTTTTTTTTTCTCACCTGCTTCTTTGTCCTTTGTATGATGATGGGGAGGTGGTGGAAAACGCAAAGATGTTGTTTTGACTCCTGCTTTGGATCTGCGTGGGGTCAGCGTCCGTGTGTGTACACCGATGGGATATGGGTGCAGCGAGGAGGGGAGAGTCAGCGGGTGAGCCCTACGTTAGCTGGGACCGCGCCCTGCTTCTCGGAGGAGGCCCCTCACTGCCGGGACCGCCTCTTGAGCTGGAGCCCGGGCAGCCCCAGCCCCAGCCCCAGCCCCAGCCCCAGCCCCAGCCCCAGCCCCAGGCTAGCGCCAGCGTCCCTGCGCCGCGCCCCCAGCCCCAGGAGAGACCTTCGCGGTCTAAGTTCGAGACCCAACACCAATGAAGGCTCCGCCTGCTCCGACCCCAGAACGTGGGAGATCCGCCCCAGCTCCCGGAAGCTTCGTAGGACACTGGCCTGTGCTCCCGGGGGCAAGAGGGTCCCTACAGTCCAGGAAGCCAGGCAATTTGGTCTCTCACAGGTCATCAGCTCCCATCTGCCTCGTGTTGCAGAACATTTTGGAACAGGAAAAAACCTGTGTGAAACCGAAGTTTTTTCGGTAGTTCCTGAAAGAGAAAAAAACAATTTAATTAAAAAGTTTGGGCTCGTCCGGGATTTGAACCCGGGACCTCTCGCACCCAAAGCGAGAATCATACCCCTAGACCAACGAGCCACAACGGCTCTTACTTTGCATCTACTTCCTCTGAATTTCGTTTTTCCACCAGGCTACTCGAGTGTTTTTTTTTTCCCTTGTGACTGTCAATTTTTCTTTGCCTTCTTTAATTTTTATCTTCATTGTTATGAAGTCTCACGTCTAACTCTAGCCCTGTCCTCGTTTATTCTCTCCGATCCACATCCAGGACCTTTCCAGATTCCAGATAAGGTGAGGAGAGGCAGCCTTTCAGATTCAGGCCACATTTGAGTTCCACCGAGCCCCTCAGGCACGGGTCTACCCGCGAGCTCGAGTCCGGAGGAAAACGGGTTGGAGCCTGAGGGCCGAGCAGAACTCGTTTGCACTGGCTGTACGGTCCTGAGCCCCAGGACAAACGTGGTCCTGAGCCCCATACCGGAGCTGGAGCGGGAGCTGGTTTGGTGGTGCACGTCTGGTGTGCGCTATTCCAGACCCCTCCGCAGTTTTCCTGAAAGAGAGTTAAGTTTTCCCCACTTTTGCTCAAATGGTTTTCTCGCTTTGGAATTAATCTCTTTCAGTTTCATCCATATTCACGTCAAATCCTAGTACTCCTTCCTGCTGCGGCTCAAAAATCGTTTCACGTAATGATAAAAATACATAAACGGCTAAACAAATGAAAAGTCTCTCTTTCTTCATGGATGTATGTGTATAATGGGGTCACACACTCGGGCTGCAGGTCACAGTCAAGGGGTTTGTTCTGCAAATTAATGCCCTGAAGGTAGCAGTGCACATACACACATTTGTGAAATATTCTATACCATCTAATGGTCTTGGGCCTCCGACATCTGGTCCTGAGGCAGGAACCTAGGATCAACCAGAAGCGAAAAGAAGGCACATCTTAAAGAAGATATCTGAGAACCTTTCCAGCTGATCGGTTGAATTGTGAGTTACTGCATACCCCTTAGTGTTTACCAAGCATACCAGATAAGATCCATTTTTCAAGACGTGATACCTGAAACTGAACGACCAGCAAGTGAGCTGTGTTTCTTAAGACAGCGCTAAGGTCTACACACTGCAGAACGCTGCTTCGGAGGGTAAAGGGCTGAAGAAACTGAGGAGCCGCCAGCCCAAAATAGCAGCGTCTCCTTCGAGCCGGAATCGAACCAGCGACCTAAGGATGACTGGCAAGGAAACCACTACAGTCCTCCGCTCTACCAGCTGAGCTATCGAAGGGAGCGCAAGTGTATCCTTCCTACAATTCCCTCTTCAGGACAGAGTTAAATAGAGACGAGTGCAACGCGACTCCTCGCTTACCCACAGGTGGATGCCGTGGAGTAACTATCTTGTGAGAATTTCCTGCATTCACAGTTTTGGGAACAACCCTTCTAAAGCTGGATTCTCCTGCTTCACCGAGGGATTTCCAAACAGGGCCAACCAGTGCTCTTCACAGGCGCTGCCAGAACCCATGCACCCCGAGGTTGCACGGGTCTTAGGAAGGGGTGACCTGCTCGCGGGACGGGGGGGTGCTGTTGTTTCCACAGAGTGCGCGGGGCCGGGGCTTCCTTGACACGCTGTGTGCCTAGAGTGGGAGCGGCCATTTGGCGTTTGGGGAACTAGGGACTGAGGCGGTGGGAAACATTGCTACCGCGCTGCGCTACTCCGAGCCAGGGAGAGGGGCACGGGTCTCATTTCCTCCCTTCCTGCCCTCGCCTCGGAACCCAGGCGTGCGGGCGCAGGCCAGCCGCAGCTCTTTTCAGCTTACTCGTTTGCAGACTGGGGGACGGAGAGGGTGTGGAATACAAAATATACGGGTAAGCCTAGTGTTTCTGTGAGAACTGCCTTTTGGGGAAACTATTTCAAGGTTTCCCAAAGAGGAATCCACTATCTCTTTGAGTTAATAACATGGTCAGCAAAGTCTCCACCTGAATCCCCCCCACTGAGATACTGAAGTGTTCGAAAAATCCACTGAAACAGGAAACTCTGCTGAACTGCGTAACCCGGAAGGCCGACGCCGGCAAGGAGGACCTGGTTCTAGGTTCGAAAACCTGCCCACGTCGGTTGCTGAGGGTTCGATCCCATTGTCTTTCTCCACCGTCCTCGTCCGGGCTCGGGAAGGGCTACCCTCCAGGGTCTGGCCGCGAGCGGATCTGCCCTGGTCCTCACGCAGCTTATACTGCACTGCGTCACAACCCAAGGAGCAAACAGTACTTGCGCACTGGCACGGGAACCAGAAAGGAAGCGGCTGTGTTCGGCAGTGTTTATTCCGGAGGTCTGGACTGCACCAAGAGGACCCAGAGGGGAATATCCGAGTGGGTTAAAGTTAATCGGAGAAAGGGTGGTAGTGAGAAGAATTAAAAACAGTAGGAAACACCTTAAAGGCCCCAGCGAGATTTGAACTCGCGACCCCTGGTTTACAAGACCAGTGCTCTAACCCCTGAGCTATAGGGCCTCACACTTGAAACGTTTTGTTCTCGGTGGTGAAGGAACAATTTTATGTTGCGTCTTTATTAAAGTATCTGCGTGTTGGAAGCAAACGAAATCTGAATGTTGTTTTAGTGTTTCCGTTTGCAGGTTTTTTGGGAATAGCGCAATATGGGGATCAGTGACAGAGACAGCCACTGTTTTAAGGCGACAAAAATATGCCCTACCCAACACAATCTAACACAGTGAAAGCTTTTTTTTTTTTTTTTTGCCCCCAGCTACAATTGTCAAAATTAAGAAGGGAAATCCTACAGAGGGGAGAAGTTGCCTACCGTGGGTCTCTTAGTTTAAACTTGGGTATCTACACTCAGTTTTCTACTTGACTCAAGACATCCACCGACTTGCAACCGCCCGCCTTAAGTTCCTTAGATGTAGGGACCCTTGGTAACAATTCAAGTCTCAGCGCCAGAGCAGGCATTCATTAACTCACTATTTAATTCATTTCTTTATTCAATAAACACTTAATTCCAAGTTTGTGATATGCTCTGCACTAGGAACAAGGCACCCAGATATGGTCTTTACCTTGAAGTCACTGCCATAGTTTTATGGAATAAATGAACTTCAGTTTTCATGAAAGAGAATAATAAAAAGTAGCTGTGAAGGTGTAAGGAGGCAGTGGAGACTGCCAAGGTTCACAAACTTGTAGTAAGCACAGATACAGGCCTTCTGGAGGGGATGGGCTTGAGCAGCACTCCGAAGGGAAATTAAGGCCCAAATTTGGGGGTGGAGTGATTTGTGGTAGAAAAGTTGGGAGGAAAGTCGGACGACTCCTGGAGGTGTTTAAAGGACCAAGGCAGCGGACTGCCTTCCAAAGTGAGGGATGGTAAGAAGACAGGTTAGTAGGAGACAAAGATATTTCCGGAATGAGGTTTTGCCATTTGAAAAACTGAAAATGGAAACTCATTAGGCATGGATATGCAGGATGAATTGAAGGAAAGAGAAACTAGTGTCAAGGGAACACCAGATACTGGCCATGGTGCAAATGCTCCAAAATAAAGCTTCAAAAGAGTAACATTTATACATTCAAAAGGGGGACAATGAATGAAAGAGATACGGGACAGATTCTGTTGAAGTTAAATATGAATAAAGGGGAAATAACACAATAAAGAGGACAGAGTCGGGGAGAATTCTCAAATATAGCTTGACCAAGCAGGATGATAGTTTCAGGGAAAAGAGTCTTAAAGGGGAGATGGGTATCTGGAGAGAGCAAAGGGGTGCTAAGATTTAGATGGGCTGAATTTGAGGTGAGGAGGGAGGAGTTTATGGGAAATGTACAATAGCTAGAATACTCTTCTGTCTAAAGTTCCATAGATTAGATAGGTCAAGGTTAGCTCAAATTACATAGAGCAGTGATTTTTTTACCTTTTTCATCTCATAATGGCAAACCAAAAAAAATTTTTTTTCTGATCTGACAAAAAATTAGGTATAATTTTGATGCATTCATATAAACATCTATTGTGTTGGCTGTTTTGTTTGTTTGTTTGTTTGTTTGTTTGTTTAATAACTAAGAGAAAAGAGGTCACTGCCCCTGACTACAGACAGGTATTGCATGTTTTAAAAATTTTTGCAGTACACTGGTTGAAAATGTTGATGTCGATCATCCACTGAGTTACAGCTAAGAGTTATGTGCTCTTGAAGAAAAAATGTACAAAGAGAAAACAGCAGAGGTGTAAATAGGAGCATTCTGAATAGCCCCTGCTGCTTGCATTTGTTATATGAGTGGGTTTAAACATTTTCCTTACATTTGGGAATTTCACATATTCATATATTATGTCCTAGAAAAGTTGCTTTCCCACCTAGAGCTGGGAGTGGGCATGTGACCTAGGTTCCACCAATCAGATGTATCCAGGGAAGATTTCAATAGTGAAGTGCAAAAAAGGAATAAATGATCCTATAGGGAAATACCATGTTTTTCCAATGGTTAAGCTGTTGGGTTCTTGGGTTTGGGATTTCTTAAATCTGTAGATTGTTGTCTTTCTTCAGTTCTGGAAAATTCTCAGGCATTATCTTTTCAACTGTTGTTTTTGTCCTTTTTCTCCTCTCCATTTATAAAACTGAAATTAAACATATTAGAGCTTCACAAATTGTCTTCTATTTTTAACCTCTCTTCTATATTTTGTCTTT